TAGTGTGGTGAAATCTGGGGACTCCTGTGCCCATGGACAAGGACGTAGCCATGGAGAACTAGAACTGAGAGTGAGGCATCCAGCTGGTATGAAGTAAGTGATGATGTACAAGAATGCCCAAACTTTCAGACAGTACCCATTTGATATTGATGGCTTGATAATTAGACCTCAACTAGAATTTTTTTAAAAAAGCAAGTTTTGATGAAGGAAATGATTGTAAATTGCTACAATTTAATGAACCCGACCTATACTTATGGATGTAGTAGCTCAAGGTACCAACTGAGAGGGAAGGAGTCTTCACATCAATGCTATCCCCTCTGTATTCAGGGTAGATAGGGACAGGCAACGTAGACATTGGCTACTTAAAATGATGGGGCCATAGAGGCACAAAGTGACTGATTTACAAGTTTTCAAGAGGGAGTTTAGTTTAAGAGTATGCAGGGGTTGGTAGTGTCCCCACTGAATAGTTTTCATCTTGTTTAGATGGCTCTTGTGAAAGGAGATGGGGATAGGATTCTTGTAATTCAATAATGAGTAATTGTTATCATGACTAATTGCGACTGTCACAATTGTAAAGGTAGAGGCTTTGTAACAAAATCAGAGGAGTAGTTAATCTTACAGTCCAGAAGCAGAGGACCCTGGGACCATCAAGGGAGAAGAACACAGGCAGAATGTAAGGAGATCTAGTAGTGTAGTGATTACGAATCAGGCTGCGAACCACAAGGTCAGCAGTTTGAAACTACCAGCTGTTCCGCAGGAGAAAGATGAGGCTTTCTGCTCCTGTAAAGATTTACAGCCTCGGAAACCCTGTTCCGGGTCGCTATGGGTCGGAACTGACTTGACGGCACATAACAACAACAATCCAGAAAAGCAGCGACACCAGAGATGGAGGCAGAGATATGGACAAGAAGAGAGGGAGCTGCTGAGGACTCTGGCCTCCTGGAAAGAGAGGGTACTGGCATCTAGAAGGCAGGCTTACAGAATGTCCCCTTTGATTATTTAAATTATTATATATTCCTGAGTTTTTGTGTACAATCCGTGCCTCCCCCCCACCCCCAACAACAAAACCCAAGGAAAGGAAGCAAAAATTGTTGAATGATGATGTACAAAGGAGATTATAATCATTGCATTGAAACAATGGTGTAAAGCCAATGTTTTCTCATTTAAACTATCACTCAGTTCACAACAAAAACTTAAGAAAAAAAAAAAAACCACCAGGGTTTTTTTTTGTGGTGTAGCATTTGTTGTAAAATTTCAGTCATTTGGGAAGATATCCCCTTTCCATTAAATGTTTTATATTAGTCTTGATCTCAAATTGTTTTCTTCCCATTACACATAGGTACCATAACAAGACTAAAACAATTAATGACAGAACTTGTCTGTAGCCATTCACTGAAAGAAGATAACAAAACATATTTTACTTGGAATAAACACATGCATGTATAAACTGGAACCTTAGTAGCAATGGTTATTCATACTCCACAGTAAGTACTTATGAAGTGTCAAGCATCAAATTATGTTGCTACTACTTAGAACAGCAACAATTCTAGCTTCATTGTTGAGGATGCCAATATGTCAAGACTACATGTCAAGGTCCAAGGCAGGATCCACTCACTAAAAGCTGATGGCAATTTGAAATACATATTAGGATCAGGAAGTGTCTCCATTCTGCTTAAGTTCACCTGAATATAGCAGCACATTTGGGAATCTAAGGAGCTTCTGAGTAAGCAGGAAGAGAGCTTTAGAAAGAAAAAGATCAAAACACATCAGCAACATGTACTATCTGTAAAGTGGAAATCACCTGTGGGGGGGGGGAATGTTTCATAATGGTCAAATCTTTTAATGGAGTATGTTTTGGGCACATTATCACCTTAGGATAAGTTAGAAAAAAAGTTGATATTGTGAAGATAGATGCTTAGATGTATTTTCTTAGGGTTGACATTTATGTAGAATTCATAAAATGACAATAATTCTAAAAAATTTCCAATAAGATTACGATTATGTACTTTTTCATTATGTGACCAACAGCATTTATAATACATTTAGGTTTTATGTAAAGATAGTACATTTTTGACCTTTAGATAGGAAGAAAAAGATCATCTATTCAATCAGAAGAAGTGAAGTATCTTGTGCTGTTTTCTGGCAGACCGACAGAATATTTTTCTTCCATGATTCCAATCTGAACTGTAATACTTAATGTCTCTAGCTCTCCATCTACCATTCTTTCCATAAACTTGGCAATCAAGATTTTATCCCTGTCACTACCTTGGACCACCTTCTTCATGAAACCAATGACTTCCATCTTGCTGAATCGAGTACTCATACATACATATATATATATATATATACTTTTTGCACTTTCTTGCTGAATTGAGTAGTCACTTTTTTTTTGTACTTATCTTATTTGACATCTCTGCAGTCTTTGACAAAGTTGACCACCAGTACATTGGAGGGAAGGGTTGAGGTTGAAGATTATCTTCTCTGGGCTTTCACTGATACTAAGTAGTTGCTCTATTTCAGGAAAATTATTTAAACTGAAGCTTCAGTTTCCCAATGTCTAGATTTAAGACTAGATAGCTTTAGGTATATTTCACGTATAGAGTACAACATTCTTCTCTTGTTTTTCCCCTCAAGGTTTTTGGTAATATCTAAGACATTTTCAGAAATTTTCCTTTTTTATACTCCATTATATTCTTTAAAACACACACACACAACTTTTTATTGAGAATTGAGTGAAACTTCACAGAGCAGATCATCAGCTTTACGTTCAACTGTTCATAGACTTTGTTTCATCTCGATTGCAATCCCCTGCATGCAACACCACTTACCACACTTTTTCCCTGTTTCTCTTGGTTCCATTCCTCCTACTTTTCTCATCCTGCTGAATTGCACCTTTAGGTAAATGCTGTCCTTTTGATCTCAAATTATTTACTATTCTATATGTGTGTACCTTGCCCAACTACTTTTCTAGTGCTTGTCTAAAAATTGTATCACAGAGGTGAATTCAGTTTCAGACATGAAGGATGGTGACCAATGGCCATAGTCTCAGAGCTCCATCAGTCTCTAGCCATACAGCAAGCCTGGTCTTTTTTTTTATGGTTTTGAGTTTTCTTCCACTCTATCCAGGTACTTCTAATTCTACCATATTCTTACCTTCCCTGCATGGCTAACTTTTCAGAACATTATTGAGATTTGTCTGTATTATTAGTAAAAGACCAGCCATGGATGCTGAAGTTATTTCTGTTCTATTAAAAGCAACTTGACAGATTTCTCATCAATTTAAAGAGTTAAAGAAATTTTGCTCATAAAAACATGAGAATGTGTATGTGTGAGTAGGGAGAAGTGGAATTTAGATAGTCCCAGATTTGCAAAAAGTGATTAAAAGAATGAATGCATATGGCAATCATTGATTCATGTGGTCAAGTTTTAGAGCTAAAAATAAAGTGCTTTCTGATTGCTAGGAAACAGCTAGAGATAGTGCTCATAGCACCTTGCTTTACTGGGAGGCTGTAAAGACTGTGCAGTGGAATATCACAGATGACAAAGAACCAGATGACTGTTGTTTTATCCCAGAGTTTCTACATTACTCGGAATTAAAATTTTTTTTTTTTTTTTTTAAATGCTGCATGTTAGAACAGTCCCGTAATTGGCAATGTTCCTATGACTTCTCACCCAGGATAAACAGTTTCAGAACAGGGCTCCTATATTGAATTCTTTATGTGGTAGATATCTGATAAGCTAGTGGCATATCTATCTAGTGATTTAACAATAGAAATGCATTTTATAGGTACAATGTGGTTGAAATAATGCAGTAAATGGGTTAACATATTAGTTAATCACATGCACTTTAGTAAGAACTGTGCAATTGTCACAATTTCTGGCTCTAAATCTGTTGATTTTATTTCCTGGATCTTTTAAATTGAACTATTAATAGGCTAAGTGCTTAGATTTGTTAATTAACAGATTGTTTAGCTATTGCTTACCCTGTTGTTATTATCTTTCAGACAAAGATCTCTCTGCATGTGGTATAGAGAAAATCTGTCTTTCTTTGTCTCCTTATATCATTGTGCACATTCTGAGGATTTCCTTTACCCTTTTCCATGGAACATTCCTCATTGTTGTATTTGTTGCAGCATAAATAAAACTAACTGCATAATTATGTCAGCATTATTGATTCTTGGGTTTCAAAAATCCAAAGTTTTAGTCCTAGAAATATATGAAGTGTTAAGCTTGTCTCTTTTAAGAATAATTTCATAAAATAACTCCAAATACTTACATCAACGATCAAGAAATCCAGCCAGCACCAGGCATTAGTAAAATATGTTTGAAATCCATAAGCTACCCATTTGAGTAGCATTTCCAGAATGAATATGTAAGTGAAGACCTTGTCAGCATATTCTAACATGGTTTTGATAGTCTTTCGCTGTTCAATGTATATATCTTCAAAAGCCTGTAAGGCAAGAATATATTTTTATTTTAGTTAAATGCTTGCTTTCCCCAAACACTTGATATAACTGCCAGAGGAGCACAAGTCACTGCTTTAAAAGAATGGTTAATAGCAAGAACTGGACTGCACAGTTGGTTCGAACTGCAAGGTTGGTGATTCAAGCTCACCAGACGCTGCTTGGAAGCCCTACAGGTTCGCTGTGCGTCAGAACTGACTCTACTCGAAGGCACTTAACAACATCAACAACAACAAATCAAGTGGCTTCATAAGATGAAGGTCTGTGGTTCAAGCTTGTTAGTCGCTCCACAGAAAAAAAGATGAGATTTTGTACTTCTGAGACCTAAAGCCTCGGAAACGCTATACAGGGTCGCTTAGAGTCGATGGGCAGCAGTTAACAACAACACCAAGAGAGAATTAATGCATTTGACTTATAGTGTTGGAGAAAAATATTGAAAGTACCATGAACTACCAGGAGAACAAACAAATCTGTGTTGGAAAAGGTACAGCCAGAATGCTCTTTAGAAGCAAGTATGAGACTCTGCCATTCATACTTTGGACATATTATCAAGAGGAACCATTTCCTGGAAAACGACATTATGCTTGGTTAAGTGGAGGGTCTGCAAAAAAAAGGAAGACCCCCCCACCCCAGAAAATGGATTGGCACAGTGGGAACAGAGGTGGGCTCAACCATAACAACCATGAGGATGGCACATGACCAGGCAGTGTTTTGATCTATTGTGCATAGAGTCGCTGTGAGTTGGAAGGACTTGACAGCCCTTAACAGTAATAATAACTACAGCACACAAATTTTGATAAACACCAGAAAAGATCTAAAGTATAAAAACTTAAATGAAAAAATGTTAAGCATTTTTTTTTATTGTCTTTACAAATTGCACTGGATTTCCAATATTTAAAATGTACTTCTCTGTCTCTCACTTCAAAGTGTGTATCTGAATGGCAGCTACAACGACATGTTTTTAGTGAAGTACTTTGCGATCAGAAAATGATCAGAAATTCTGTTAATGAGAGATGGTGGTAGTGGTGATGTGTTTTGACTCACAGTGACACTGTACAGGGTTTCTGAGGCTGTAAATCTTTATGAGAGCAGAAAGATCCATTTTTCTTCCAAGGAGCAGCTGGTATATTCAAACCGCTCTCCTTGTGGTTACTCGTTACCCACTACACCACCAGGAATTCATTAATGAGAGGTAAAATTAGCCTACTCCAATACTAAGGAGCCTTAGTGGTATAGTATATTGCAAGTTCCGGATGCTAACTGCAAGATTCATGTTCACCAGCCACTTCACAGGTGAACAGAAGGAGGTTCTCTTCTCCCATGAAGATTTACAGCCTCAGAAACCCTACATAGGGCTGCTCTGAGTTGGAATTTATGATAGCAGGTTTGCTTATTATTATTATTCCAACATTAATTTCTATGATTTGCTGAATGATCTGGCTTATTTTGAAAGAATAAATTGATTATATACAAAGAAAACAAAATACACTTCCATAAATTTTAGTAATATGATTTATTGAGGAAAACTGGATGGTACTTGACATAGAGAGTAACATAGTTACAGAATGCCTGTGCAAATGATTGTCTCAGAGAAGGAAACAGCTTTTAAATAAACACCAGATGAGAAATTCCATCTGGCTACCTCATTGGTCTGATTTGCTCTGTACAAAATTTTGCATAGTTAAACTCTTGGTTGTCAAGCATTGCAAGACATGTATATATGTTCTCTTTAAATTCTTAAATACTTTTGGTATTTGGGGAGAATGAGCATGGCAACAGTAGTGAGGTTGGCCCAGGATCGAGCAGTGTTTCGTTCTGCTGTGCATAAGGTCGCTATGAGTCGGTACCAACTTGATGGCACCTAACAACAACAGCGATCTATTTCACTAGAATTTTATTCTCACCAACATGCATTTATTTCACTTACCAAAGCACCGCTGCTGAGAAGGATCATGAAGACAATGAAAGTTTCAAACCAATTGTGCTCCACAATGCTGTAGCAGGTTTTTCGAAGATTCCACCAGATTTTTCCTTTGCCTTCTTCTATACTTACTTGACAAAATGGAAACTTTTTAATACATCCTAAAAAAAATCCCATTGTATAATAAATTAGAAAAATATATTTTAATCCTAAATATAAGGAAAACAAAACTTTTTTTGCCCTCTCAACCAATTGTTCATGGTAAATGAAGATTTGCTACCATATTGCTTACCTATCTTCAGCATCCCTCCTCATATGAGAATTATTCCCAGACTTGCATATTCAATCAGCCACATAGAATTTAAGGAATTGCTCTACCCTGCATAGTTTGGGTTTAAATGTCTTTATTCTTTAAGAAGTCAGTATCTCACTGCCATTGATAGAAATAAAGTCCAGATGTACCTCTCAAGTTTATGACAAAACTACATTTTCAAAACGACTTGTTTTTCATGTGTTGATACCCTTTTTCTCATGCACAGGAGATCCCTGTCTCTTCTCAGGTATCAGCCCTGTCAATTTTCCCTAGCTAATTTATTTTCAGCCTCACTGCTTTCCTTAGTCACACCTATGACTCATTTGTCAGTCAGTGTCTTATTCCATTGTACTCCCCCTCTTAACTTTCATATAGTTCTAACTTCCATCCACTCTTCTGCTTTCTCTGAGCTGCTACTCATCAGATTAATCTGCTCACATAAAATCAACAAGCGTTTAATGATTTGCATGCAAGACACTGTACTGGTTGCTGTGAGAATAACTACAGTTCTGCTTGGCAAGACTCTGGAACACATCTATATCCAAAAACAGCTCAGTCACAGAACAAATTAACCACATTTGAAATTGTTAAGGGACAGGGTCTAATTATTGTAGCATCTATAAATTAAACCAATCCATTTCCAATGAGGTCTGAAGGAAAGAATGCATAAATGAGATGGCATTGCAGAAAAACATTTTGTTTCATAGTGTTCAGTTCTCCTCATTGTGGGGGATGAAAAGAAAAGACTTCATATCAACGAAATTGTCCAAGCACAGACACAGTTAAGAGTATAATATGGAAATATAGACAGATTGCCTTTTTTGGAAGTGAGGAAAAAACCAAAGATAAGTATACTTTCAGTATTTATTTTAAATATTTCTTTTAAACGAGGTACATTTAAATCTGTTAAAGAATGAGGGAGATTGTAGCGAATCATATTATGACTTGTTTACCTTCAGTAAAACAGGCTTCTGGTTTAAGATCTTCTTCCGGTTCAATTTCCGCTTGTTCACCTTCTCGGGGTGGAGCAACATCAACTGTGCTTCCTTCAGATGAACTGGTTGCATTTAGTTTCTGGAAACAAAATCCCATTGCGAAGATGTGATTTTTCTCCATTTTATTAAACTAATTTGGAAAAGCTTTGTCATAGTGTGGAAAAGTGGCAGTGGCAGTATTTGACACTATTAACATCACTGACAATTATGTGCTATTAATTTACTATAATTAAAGTCCTATTATTTAAAACAATGGAACTATTGACCTGATTTATACGTACAATTTCTAATATTAAGGTTAGACAGTTTCAGTGTGGGTGATTTGGAAATGATAGATTATACTGATTAACTTGTTTTATGATCTCTCTTTGTATATGAATCCCATGCAAAATATTATAATAAGTTAGTACTTAGGCCAAACCAAGAAAGTTTGATAAAAAATTTTATATGCTGACATCTACTACTGATTATATTAATTAAAAGGCATCAAATCAAATAGTAATTTCCACCTCTTTGCATGGAAATTTTCAGAGGGCCAAGGACATTACCAGTTGTTTCTAAGTAGTGTCCATGTTTCTATAATTTTAGAAAGGAAGATCAGCACATTAACATTAGTCACAGTCATTATATTTCAAATTTGAGCTATATTTTTCTCTGGCTTACGTAATTTTCTTCTGATTTTACTAGCAGAAAAATGATGGATCACTTTTTTTTTTTAACTGCTGAAATGAATTTGATACTTGCCAAGGAACTCTAAATGAAATGGAAATTTCTTCAGAAATGGGATTGTCCAGAATCTGTATGGATGTTCATTAAAAGCACATTTTGATTTAAAGATGTGATCAGTCTGCGGATTTTTCCTTTAAATAGATCATTGTGACATGCCACGTGGCTAGAAAGAGCCACTTCAATGTTACAGGAGGAAGTATCTAAAAAGAGCTCTGTGATCATGTGGGAAGACAGTATGAATGCGCAATGCTTTTTGAAAACTGATCCAAGGACAAGGCACAGAGCACAACCTAGGTAACAGAACGCTTTGAGAATGGAAGGACAGTGCATGGACATGTTACTGGTTTCAAAACCCCCCATTAATTTCAGGAACATGGTGGTAAGGTCTTTGGAAAAAGTTCACCTGTTATTCAGAAATATTTAAATAACTTCCTAAACACAAACATATTGGGGGAAATTTGGTTCAAAATTCCTAATTTATTGAAATTATAATGCAAACGTAATTTAATATTTTAGAAATGTGAACAGAATAGTAGTATCAAGATGATCCATTTTGGTTGCTACCTTGAAGGTAACATTAACCATGTCCAGCTAATTATTTTATAAAACGTAATTTAAGTCAAAATATATTTCGTGAGTATGCTAAACAGAGTATCAAGGTAATTATATTTGGCTAATGGTTGTCAGGGTCATTAGAGTATAAGAATTTCTACCATTAAATTCCTCTAATTCTTGGAGATGTGGGAAAGTCACACATATTTTCTTCTTCAAAGATTGTTCAACTTCTTACACTCAGGGTATCTTTATTCATTTAAGAAAGGCCTAGGAAAGCTACTGCTGGTTAGAACTGCAGCAGTTTCTGGTGTAACCAAGAAAACATTCGATGATTGTTTGGGTTTAACAATTAACTCTTCTCTTCCAGATTCACTGATGTTTTCTGCTTTGGACACTATAGCTTTTGATGAAAGGCAGCAGTAATACCCACTATGCAAATTACTAGCAGGAAAACAACATTATTTTGAGGCTAATTTTCCCAAATCTGTTTTTCTTCTTCTTCCTCTTGGGTAATCCAAGCTCAATACTCTTTTCTCAGTCTAGGTCATAATCCACCTCTTCCATGAAAGCGTTCTTTCTTGAACAATTTCTCTATCATTTTTCCATGATAAATTTTATAGAAAGTTTAGTTTATTCTACTTGTTTCCTTTAACTAAATATCCAAATATACTTTACCTAAATAGTCATATATATTGAGTGCTTGGCTGTTCCTGAAAAGTCAGCAATATGAATCCCTCAGTCTTTCAGTGGGAGAAATAGGTGGCAATTCACTCTGTAAAGATTTATAGTCTTTGAAACTCTTTGGGGCCGTTCTACTCAGTCATAAAAGATCACTATGAGTTGAAATCTGCTTAATGGCAAAAGGCTATATATTTACGTTTATATACATATGCACATATGTGTGCGTGTATATTCATGGGGGATTCAAAAAGTTAATGGAAATAAAAGATAAGAGAATTTTTCCTTGAACTTTTTGAAGCCTCCTCATGTATATATGTGTGTGTATGCATGCATGCATACATATGTGTGTACATATATATATTTCAAACAATGCAGTACATAACCAAACATAGAATGGACACTTGTTATGGGGAGTTTATGAAGAGTGAATGCATGAATGATTGAATGCATAGTTTATATTATTCATACTGAGAAAATTATAGCACTTAGATAATCTCTTAATTTGACATATAATTAAATCATAGCTCTAATGAAAAATAAACTTAGAAAATACATTTTTTATTAAATATAAATTATTTAATTAATAACATTTCAACAACTAAATGCACATGATTTCCCCAAAATATTTCTCTAAGTGTTAACTAAATGCACATGATTTCCCCAAAATATTTCTCTAAGTGTTGGCAGGTATTTAATAAGTAAAGTAATAAGAATATATATATCTACACATGAGTTTTTCCATTGGAAAAACATTTACTTTTTCATTTAGAAAATATACTCACCTTTTACTCTCCATTTTACTACTGTTATATCATTTTAAGTTGTTTAATTTCTCACATTATGATTATCTGCCATATGTTGTACAGATGTCTTCTATTTAAATACAAATATTTATTTAAAGCAAACCCTTCATAGCACAATAGTAACCACTAATCTGAATGACAACTGAACACATTGTTTGCCAAGTATAGATTTTTGGTTTTGGTACTGGCTTTATATTGTTACTGTTTATGACTGTGACTGATTTGTTTGTGTATAAACATGGTCAATTTCCTCAGTAACTATAGAAGTTATGCTTTCATTTATCTTAAAGTAAAAAGGGACACGAGTCCATTCACTTTTGTCTGCCTGACCTTACTAGGCTTTATCATTGTTGTTAAGTGCTGTCGGGTCAGCGACCTTGTATAGGGTTTCTGAGGAGCAGTTGGTGAGCTTGAACCGCTTACTTTGCAGTTCAAACAGCTTTGCAGTCTGACACATTAACCCACAGAGCCACACCAAGATTCTGTGAGGCTGTATTATTAGGAAACTTAAATTAGGAAAAAAGTCTTGTTAGTATTCTGCTCTTCTTAAAGGAGAAAAACCCAATTTGCAAGAGAATTGCTTCACTATTTTCTAGGAATTTTGTTTGATTATAAGGATATATTATTCTTAAAGTTATGTTCTAGAAAGTTTCCCCAAGGAATGTTTGGAAAGGGATTTGTAAGAATAGTGTCTGCAAGCTCTCATGCGCCTCAGAAAACAGAATTTAGAAGATAATTGGTGAGCTAAATTTCATTTCACTAAAATGTGTTGCTAGGGAGGTCCCCTTCTTTATGAAGGTTCACATAGAGCTGACTTTCTATGAGTTGGAGAATCAGTCTTATTCATGTTTAATCATATTAATCAGAAATGTCACTACACTATTTTTCAATCCCATTGCCAATTTTTCCCCCCCATAGGAAAGTACATGTGAAGGTATGAAAATAATGCATAAACTAAATAAAACTTTAAACTTGTGAATTTACCCACATTTATAAACTAAGATCTGAATTACATTCTTATTAAATGATAATGACTTATCAATTACAATATTCTACCTGACCTGCTTTAATCACTGGATATATGAAGAATTTTACTGATGTAATTTTAAATCATGAAATTACACTCTAGAAAACAATTCAAACAATTTATTCTATACATTGATTTAACACTATATAAATAATCAAAACATTTTCCAGTTAAGTTCAGCACTTTTGTATTCATATTGCAGTAAAAAGTAGTTTGTGATACATTTTATCATAGTCATGCTAAATGATTTCTAAAAATTTTTTAAAACATCTAATTGAGTTAAAAGCAAGTGACCGATAATAAATACAAATAATAACTTACTTTCTTTATTGCCATAGCTGCAATAATATGATATTTAAAAAAAAAAAAAGAGGCAAAGAAATTTACCATATTAAGGAACTTGATGACCATACTAAATAACTAAAGTCAATATTTATTCTAGAGTAGTTGGGGGAAAAAATTGGATATATAGGTATAACCGTAGTAAACTTCCATATAAATCAACATAGTACAAGTTGAAATTTGTTTTCTCATACTGGTTTCTCCCTACCTTTACAATATTGTATGGCACTTAAGAGTTAGATTTTTCCATCCCTTGTAGAAACTACTGAGTCTACAGAGGGATGATGATGTATGCTCTATAGATGCACGCTGGAAAGCAGTTTTTAAGATGCAGCATTCTCTGGGCCTAATTCAGCCACAGAAAACATGCCTGGCTGTAGCAGAAGCCTGGCGCAATGCTGTGGAAGCAGCACGCTGATCCAAGACCATGTTTTCAAAGACATGGAACCTGAATATGAAGTTTTCAAGAAGGTTAGCTACAGATATCACTCAGAGGTATGGGTTATTTCAACATTTAAAAAAAAAAGACAGAATTAGCACCCAAAACAGATGTGAGTGCATCAAAGAGAACCTTTTCTTCCCCCCAATAACATGAACTTAAGAGACATTACCCCTTATGCCTAATATTACTCTTGATTTTTATCCAATTCAATAATGGAATTTAACTTTCTGAGATAGAAGAAAATGTTAACAACTGGCCTACTTCCACTGAAATGCGCTCAAATTTCATTTATTTATAGCCAACCATTAAATGATTGACTCTCAAACTGCTGTATGATTCAAGAGGGAAAATTAAAAGATTCAGCCATTACAGATTGCCTTTAAAATCTAGCCATTTCTCTCAAAACCTATGGATTTTGTTGCAAGTGGAAGAGGAAAACTTTGCTCAAAGATTACTATCAGGGCCTTAGTCTGATCTTTGGGATTTGAATATTCATATCT